AACCTTTTGATAACTCTGATTTAGGACCGGTATTGTGTATAGACGCTAACACACACACACACACACACACGCGCATACACTCGAGTAAAACTAGCAGGACAAGTCTATATCAGTTATAAGATGTATTCATCCAATTTCGTTTAAGGTGATGAAGTAATTAAACGAAATTGGGTGAATACATCTTATAAATGATTTACTGATAGTCACGAAAAACAATACTTAATTCGAAAAATGCAGTCTATATCAATCTGGGTTTTTAATTTTTAATTTTTAATTTTCTTTTGGCGCAATTGAGTCTATAAAGAGGTAAGATAAATCATGATAGTCTTCTTGGTCTAGTGTTAACGTTTGACTTTTCAAGATGATGTCCATCGAATGAGGCACGAAAGCTCACCCCGTTTTCCCCCAAAACGAGGCAGGAAGTCGCGTTGGCTGTGTGAAAATTAACATCGTCTAAAAGCCAAACCGCTGCAGTACATCCATCCTCTTCTGGTGAGATCGACCAACGAATCTCTTCTTCTTCATTCACTTTCATACGAAATCAAGGTCCCCCTAACAGGTCCCCCTTTTTAAACAAAGTGAAATGTACTCCAACATCAGGCCACTGGGGGATTCTTCAAAAAACCACTTTTTCCCTACAGCCGCGATCAACCTCACTACTTATATCCCGCTTTAAGTAGTCGTCAAAATATAATTAAGTCTATCAACTTAGCCGGGCTGGGCTGACGAAGTTTTTCCGTCGTGGCGACGGCGCCTCCGACGGATGTTTGCCGCAAGACAAGCGGCTCCCGTGGGCTCCGGTGCTGCAGAGCCGCGGTCAGACGCGCGCAGGAAAGGTGGCCATGCGCAGAAGCTGTGCAGCGCCAGAGGTTCTCGCGCTCTGGCGGTGAAGACACGCCAAGGCCCGTCCATTCCGTCTCCGTCCGACGGTCGCAAGACCAGGCCTCTTCGAGCCAGGCTGTTGGGCTGACCTTGAAAAGAGCCAATCACCAACCGGCTAGGCCTGGCGTCGAGTAAAACAACGAAATGGCGCAGCGTCCGCCTCTGTTCGCCGTGCCGGCTTGCGGCCGGTGGCAAAGGCGCTGCTTTTGACGATGCCGCCTTAAGGCCTGGCACCGCTGGATCGGGCCAGTCACACGCTGCGCCACCTACTCGCCGGTACATGTCGCTCGGTCACATCGTCACCTCTGACGCCGTCGGACCAGACAACCAGACTGTAACTATCCTCTTTCAACTTCATTTTATCCATCCATCCATCCATCCATTCCACTGACATCTGGTTTTTCCCGGCTACATCATGTAGATATGTATTTATGTATTTATATTTTTGCAATATTATTATTATTATTATTATTATTATTATTATTATTATTATTATTATTATTATACATATATATATGTGTGTGTGTATTATATTATTATTTCTTATCGATGCAAAATGCTACCATCTATACAGCACTATTCTAATCATCTATTGTTCCACCTAACCATTTGTCCATCCGTCCATCTACTTCTTCATCTATCCCTCAGCTTCACCTGCCATTCACCCATCCACCTATCTTCCATCCTTTCCCACATTTACATCTAACTGTCTAGCTATCTACCGTCTTTTGTCTATCCAGCCACATTTTAATTTCCCACTTATTTTGCTGTTTTTCACTTGAATGTCCACCCTCTTGTCAGCTATTCACACACATCAAATGGTCGCCTGTTTATCTATCTACCTACCTATCTATCTATCTACTCTAATCATTTGCCTATTTGTCTAGCTATCTATAGTATTATCATTTGATCCATCCTGATTTTAGGTCTGTATATTTGTCCATCCGTCCATCTACTTCTTCATCTATCCCCCTGCTTCACCTGCCATTCATCCATCCACCTATCTTCCATCCTTTT